CCTGTTTCTCCTCAGCACCCAGTGGCCTGTGAGCTCTGCAAGAAAAGAAACCTCCATGGATTCATAGGGCCTGTCTCAGAGTGGGTGCCCAGAAAATACTTGTTAAATGAATACATGAAATGCATGTCTATTAGTTTCCTAGGGCTGTCATAACAAAGTACCACAAAGCAGATGACCTAAAACAATATAAATTTATTCTCTCATACTTTTGGAGGTTAGAAGTCTGAAATAAAGATATCAGCAGGATCATGTTTGCCACATCTTGCTCCCAGTGGTTGCGAGTAATCTTTGGCATTCCTTGACTTGTAGATGCATTACTTTAACCTCTGCCCCATCCTCAAATAGCCTTCTTCCCTATGTGTCTGTGCTTAGACGTTTCTGTTTTTATAGACAGCGGTCATAGATAAGAGCTTGCTCTATTCAGGTATGATTTCATCTTAACCTGATGAAACCTACAATGAACCTATTTTCAAATAAAGACATTCACAGGTACAGGGGGTTGACTCCAGCATATCTTTTTTGGGGACATATTTGAATCCAGAACAACATGAGAGAGTAGGTGCATAGAAGGGTGAGGATGTAAGTGAGTAAACGCAGGTGTTTTCTCAATATCAATGATATTTAAAAAAAAACCAAACTCACTGCCCTCGAGTCATATCTAACTCAAAGCGACCCTTCCTTGGGTTTCCGAGGTGGTGTCACTACGGAAGTAGATTGTCCAATCTTCCCTCCTAGGAGTGGCTGGTGGGTTTGAACCATCAGCCTTCTAGTTAGCAGTCAAATGCCTTAGTCACTACACCAGCAGAGCTCCCATCAATGATATATGTTGTTGTTGTTGTTAAGTGCCATCCAGCCGGCCCTGCCTCATAGCGACCCCTCCTTGGGTTTCCGAGGCAGTATCACTATGGAAGTAGATTGTCCAATCTTTCTTCCAAGGAGTGGCTGGTGGGTTTGAACCACCAGCCTTCTGGTTAGCAGTCAAGTGCTTTAGGCACTACCCTACCAGAGCTCCCATCAATGATATAAGCATGTGTTAAAGAACAGTATCTCCCTGAAGACCACATGAAAGTGCAAGAGAGGCCAAAATGAGAAGAAAGCTCAGTAGCACAACTCGGTCCATTAGTCCATTCGCCGAGGGCTCTGGGAGACACCTATCCCTAGGATGAAACCCTGTCCCAAACATCTTCCCTCCCACCAGGGATTCAAGGCCCACCTTGGGAGCCCTGAGCCAAGCTGACCCCTCCAGCAGAAGGTGAGGGTCACTAGGGGGCACTCTTCCATCACACTGGCCCTGCCCCAGCAGCCACAGAAACCTGTCCTCAGTCTTTTCTACTAGGAGCCCTGCAAACCCAGACTCTGCCCACCTTCTCCCCAGCATCCCTGCCATCTCTAACCAAGAGCCAGAGGGTCTTTCCAGGCAGCAATGGCACTTGCACCACACCAGGACCAATCAGTACAAGGCAGCTTTGCAGAGAAGGCAGGTGTCCGGGGTTAAGTTGATATTTCAAAATGATCTTTCCACATTCACTTCCCCAAAGGGCCTCTCCCTAGGCCCCCACCCCATCTCCTTTTCCAACTTGATGGCTGCCCAGCCACAAGTAAACTGAAGGCTGTCCTCCTCTAATTTATTCATTTATTTACCCATACCCACTAGACACATCTTCCACGCAGGAGCAGAAACTGTGGAGGTTCTTGGTAGTTAGAGACCCCAGAGGTTGGTGAGGAAATGGGATTGGTGGTTAGAGCTTCCTCCCCAGAGTCCACCTTCACCACATGCAGGAGTCATCCCAGCCTTGGGCCTGCAGGAGCAGCAAAAGCAAAGGATCCTGGACGAAGGCTGAGGGTCAAAGACCAGGTGCGTTTGGGAAAGTTGAGATTCCTTCTTTTCTTTAGGATTCTTTTGTCTCAACTATGAGTGGGCCCAACTTCACAAAAGTTCCAGTTAAGGAAAAATTAACCCCCCAAAACAAGATCCTATAAGGCAACCTGTGCCTGATGCCTGGGAGAGGAAGGGGGTGGCAGTAGGAGAGAGTTTGGGAAAGAAACTCCAGAGGTAGAAGGGGAAGATGGGTGTGGGGGGCATTGGACTGGGGCTTGCAGAAACATAAAAAAGGAGGCCCTCAGCTTGCTCTTCATCTGCTCCTGGAGCTGGTGCACTGGAACTTCCAAAATCCAGGCTCTTCCTGTGAATTTGCTCTCTGCCCCAGATTTTAGCGGACTTCCTATTTCCCATAACCTGCCAAAGAATGTGTTCAGCGGAGTCTGGAAAGGAGAATGTCACAACTGGCAGAGTCCTCCTTTGATGTTGCCACCTGGGCCTGAAGTCCATCCTCCACTAATTGACCATTTGGGAAGTAAAGAGGACTATTCCCTTCCTTGCTCCATGGGAGGGCCTGCTAGGGCCAGCTAAGAAGCATTTGCTTCCATATTCCCTTTGAGTGCGGTAGGATGCAGCTGCAGGGCCAGACTGAGACTGAGGCCCAAGCCAGGCTGAGCAGGGACATGGGTGTGGGCACCTGATTCCCTGGCTAGGCATTGTACACACCTACAAACCAGCCACACCCCTGTGAACTGCACTCTCCAGAGCAAAGGCCTCGAGCTTGGCTCACTCTGAGAACTGGGTCACCTCTATATCTTTCCTGGGCATGATTCCAGACCCAGTCAGCTACACTGTCATCTGGGAAGAATCATTACCTGTTTGGGGAAGGGAGGCAGGAGGATGTTAGATAGAGGGGGACAAGGTGTGCCTAAGAGAGACAAAGCTGAGGGTAAAGTCCTGGCTCACCAGATACTAGACACTGACCCAGCCAAGTGCCCACCTGTGAATACCTGCCTCCAGCACATCTGAGCTGTAGTCACTTTCTCACTCAACCACTCTGCAAAGCCAGGTGTGACTGCCAGCTCAGGAAAGTTTCAGTCCACTGAGGATCCAGCCGTGCCCTACCTGAACAGATCCTGCTCTCCATCCCTCTTACAAAGAGGAGAAAAGAATAAGAAAAATTGTGTGTACATTTCCCATCTAGGTTTTGGAATCCCTATTCCCCCTCTGTGGCTCTGGCTGGCAGGCTTTCACCATGCCTCCTGGGCCCCAGGGACAGAGGTGAGCAGTCAGAGTCCTGTTCATTGTCTGTCCCATGCTTGCCCACTCTAAGGCATCTGTTTGACTCTAGTTGCCTTGAGCTGGCATCTTTCTGCATCTATCTCAAGAATGTTTGTCAGGTGACCCCACAAATGCCCCTGAAAGTGTATCATGTGGCTTTTCTCCAAATTTTGCAACCCCAGAATTCACATGCCCACACCCACTCCCACACCTCCAACCCAGTGTTTGCAAGAATGCTGGCCACAGTTAGGGTAAGGCAGCTTGGAGACCTCTTGTCTCTTCCTTTTCATTTTTGTACCTAGTGGGGCAGTAGTACACTGGCCATAGTTTCTCTTTGTGAGGAGGTTCTCATGTGGTCCAACCTCTACCAGCTTGGCACAAATGGTTCGTTTTCTTATTCATCTTGAAATCCAATATTTGTCTTCCACGTAAGCCACATGCACTCACATACACATACTTTCAGGAGAGCTTAATTCTAAAAAATCAATAATGTTTCTAGCTAGTAAATAGCTTTCTTAAGTTTACAAAGCTTTCTTGTCCCTGGCCCCTTCCAGAGGTTCTGGAAATTGCAAACTCTATGCTGGGGGAGGTGTTGAGGAGAGCTGCTAGTGGTAGAAACCAGTCCTGATTGTCTTGGTGGACAAAAGGCAGTTCCCCACAGGGATGTGTTATATGGCCCAGGATGGTATGGTCTCAAGCATGGAAGGAGAGCTGTGGGGGTAGGGGAGGAGGAAAACAGAGAGGGTGTGTTAGAGGTTTGTGAAGAAGGTAAGGGATTTCCACCGTCACATCAGCCTAGAGGGAAGATGTGGAGAGGAAAGGTCCTGGGGGCAGAGGAGGGAATTTCACAGTGAGGAACTGCAGAAGCAACAGAATCAGACACAGAGAGGGCCCCTGACTGGCAGCAGTGAAGGATGGGGTGAAGAAGAGGCTGGAACAGGGAGAGGGCAGGTGTAGAGAAGGAATGCTCCCAGAGTTTGCCCTGCCCATCTAGGGAGCCTTGACTCTGGGGGTCACCGAAGGGTTTTGAGAATGAGAAATCAGGCAGTGCAGTGGTTACCTGGCTTCATCATTTACTCTCTTTGTGACCCTGGGCAAGATTTTTTTTTTTTTTCTTCTGAGTCTTCGTTTCCTCACAGGGATGATAACAGAACTTCCTCAAAGGGTGACTAGGAGGCCTGAACAGGATGAATGAGTGGTGGCTCACGGAGCGCTCCGCGTAAAGAAAGGGGCGCTGGCGGCGGCTGATTCAGTTGGTTAACCCAAAAACCAAACCCCACCGTTGTCGAGTGGATTCCGATTCATAGATGGGTCAAATTAACCAGAAGATTTTTTCAACCCGGATTCACACTTCCTGTAGAGACAGGTCCTAAAAGAGTTGGCAAAGGTGTTTGTAAACAACAAAGTGGAGTTCAAAGGTTGCCGCTGGGGTGAGAACAGTGGGGGATAGGGACGAGGCTCAGTCTCAGAAAGCAAAGTCATCTCTTGGCCTAGGGTCACACACACACACACACACACACACACGCACACACGCACACACACTCTCCACACTCCGCTGGAGTCCCCTCCCTCAGCAATACCATGAGTCCCTCCGGGGCACGCGATGTACACCCTTCCTTACGTCATGCCAAAGGGTTAAGGGATGAAGGGTGTAGAGTTGGGAGGAAAATTGGCCCCAGCAGCTTTGACGGAAAAGCTGGGTGGGCTGGGGGGTGCAATACGGCCACGAGGACCCAGGGCAGCCCAGGAAGGGAACTTTGGGGCCAGCCGGGCGACTGGCCCGCAGCGCCGCCTCCCGGGAGGAAGGCGGAGGCCGGGAGGAGGGATCAGGAGGAGGCAGAGGGCGGAGAAGGGCGGCTGGCTGAGAGGTTATTTGTGGTTCGCTTTGATCCCGAGGGGGAACCTGAAACTCTCACATTCCTGGCATAGCAGCCGCCTCCGGCGCGGGCGGACCCTGGGGCTGCGCGCTGAGGCTGGAGCCGCCAGAGCGTCGGCGCCAGAGTCGGGTGCACACCTCCGCCGCCGAGCTAAGTCGAATCGAGGAAGGCCAGGTCTTCGGTTCCGACTGCACCGGGCACCCGCGGGCCGCAGCGGTAAGGAAGGCCGCTTGGCGCTCTTGGGAGCGCGCGAGGCCGGCAGAGACGCTCCCCAGCCGAAGCTGGAACCCTGGCGCAGCAGGGTCTTTTCCGAAAGCCGGAGCCCCGCGGACTGAACCTTCTCAAGGCGCAATGCGCCCTTTTGAGGTGTCCGCAAAGCTAGGAAAGAGTCATTCGGTCCGGGTGGCAAGGGCAGTGCGCCCGACGGCTCTCGAGTCGCGTCGATTCCCTGCAACTTGGGGAGGAGGCAGCCTCTGGGGAGATCCGGGTTGGTGTTATGGGTTTAGGCATGATGGGGACGCGAAACTGGGCTAGAGGCGCCGTCTCGAGTTCAGGTAGCAGGGTCTTAAGGGTGGTTTGGTTAGATGGGGGGTTACAGGTGTCTTTGCCTCCAACTAGCCCAAGAATTCACTTTGTCTTCCTTGGAAAATCCTCTCTGGAGCCACGAACCGGCTCTCACATAGAAAGAATGCAGCCTACAGTCCAGCCCGGTGACGTCAGCGCTAGAGTATTTGGAAAACAAAGAGGGCTCGGCGGACCCAGGACGCTTAAAGACCTTTTCGGGCCACGAGCTGCCCTCTCCTGCACCCTTCTGGAGGCCACCTAGTGCCTGAGGCCAGCTGGAGATAGGGCTAGAGAGGAAGCGTGGTGCGATCTAATTTAGAGACTTTCGCTGATTCCTTGGGCAAGCATAAGCCTCGTCAAAGACCAGAGATGCATTCTTGCTAAAAAAAAAAAAAAAAAAAGGTGTGTGTGTTCAGAGAGCAGGGCGCGACAGTGGAGCAGGGACTGAGGTCGGGGGTAAGATTTAGTGACGGCTCGGCTTTTTGGTATCTGAAAGGATGAGCACCTGAGAGACCCTAACAAACCCTAACTCTGGAATGAGAATCCCCGGGAGTGTGTTCTGTTGTCAAGCATAGTGTTGGGGGCCTGGAATCTGTCGGCAGGAATCTGCATTCCTTCTTGCCACTCCCCGGCCCTCAGCTGAAGACAGCCCAGACAATGATTAATTTAGGAAATGCCCTAAAGATGAAAATCCAGGGTGAGTTGACCCCTATTTTTTTGTTTTGCCTCTGGAATCACTGGCGTGTTTTATCTGTACTCATGGGGGGGGGGCATGGATTGGATAACAGGGAAGTTGGGTACAGAGGTGTCCTACTGACTCATACCCCACTCCCCAGCTCTTGGCTGATGGAATCCTGGAGAGGAGAAAGTGGACTGGGAATGACTGCTATGCCCACATGTCAGGATGAAACTGAGGCCAGGGCCCTGTGGCTAGTTTTGTGCCAGAGGAGGGCTTCATTCCTCCTGCCCCCTGTCCCTCTACACACACAGAGGATCTGTGGAGATGTGGGTTTGGTTTGGTTTTCCCTGAATCATGGTTTGGAGGTTTGTGTTGGAGGAGACTGTGGAAAGGAGGCCGGGTGAGGTGGGCAGCTTTCCAGGGCATGAGCCACTGAGGGCTCCTTAGAAGGGAGCACCTTTGTATGGATGCTCATTTCCCTGCAATTTGGGCTCACAGGCCCCAGCCCTCAGTTCTTTGTAACCCAGGACCTCCTACTTCCCTCTTACCTCCTCCAGTCAGCTCAAGTCTCTATGTGCCTAGAGGCCAGCAGGGCCTTTTCCAAGTAGCAATATTGGAGGAGGGAGGGGACAGAGCATTGTAAGGTCACAGGCACATGCTCAACTTTCCTTTCTCCTGGAACACCCATGCAGTTATTGTCAGCACACAGAGGCTGTGTGACAGATCCATTCCCCTTGAGGGGTAGGACCTTTTTTGCCTCAACTCACACAACCATTGTCCTATTGCAGCCTCTCTTCTTTCATCCTTTATCCACCAGCCTAGATGCATTTTCTCCTTCCTGTTCACTTGCAGAGTGACTGCCAAGGTCATCTTGTGACTGGGAGCTCTGGGTCGATTCTATCAACAGCCCTTGATTAAGCAGAGCCCAGGGTCTGCCACTCCTCGAAGGAAGGTTGAGCAATCCTACTTCCGTAGTGATACTGCCTCGGAAACCCAAGGAGGGGTCGCTATGAGTCGGGGCCGACTCGACGGCACATAACAACAACAACAACAACAGGGTCTGCCCTCTAGGAGCTCACTGGTTAAGGGAAAAGTGAGAGCAGTGGGCAGTGGGCTCAGGAGGTAAAGGGTATTGGGTTGTCTGTGCCAAAGCCGGTGCTCAGGCATGCTTCATTCTGGGTAGATCTGGCTAGATCTCGAGATGGTCTTCCTGAGCCTGCCTTTGATAAAATAAATAGATAAATAAAGTTACTTGATGGGTGGCCATCTGCAGGGGGCCAAGGTTCATGGTTGCTGTTGTCTTTCGGTAGGCATAGTGAGTCTTGATGAATATCATTTTCTTGGCAATCATTTGCTAAGCTTACATTGCACCCGGAGCTCAACAGCCATTGTCTCCTTTAATGCTTCCACTTTATGGGGCAAGTATTATTCTTCCCATTTTTTGGATGGAGAAACCAAGGCTCAGAGATTAAATAGTTTGCCTTAATCAGTAGGTGGCAACATTGGCACTCGAACCCAGGCTTGGATGACTCTTCCCCCTCCCCACACACAGACTTGCTTTTCACCGTTGTGGTTGTGCGTTAGACCATGCTGTAATGGAAAGTCTTCCCCTTCCCCATTCACTCCCACTGATTGTTCTCTCTCTTCTCCCAGGTGCTCTGGGCCCAGGTGCTGCTGGCTATTGTCCAGGTGGGTGTGTGCAAGCCAAAGAAGCATGAGGACGCTGGAAGACTCCTCAGGGACAGTCCTGCACCGCCTTATCCAGGAGCAGCTACGCTATGGCAATTTGACCGAGACACGCACGCTGCTGGCCATCCAGCAGCAGGCCCTGAGGGGTGGGGCTGGGGGCACGGGAAGCCCCCAAGCCTCCTTGGAGATCCTGGCACCTGAGGACAGTCAGGTGCTACAGCAGGCCACGAGGCAAGAGCCCCAGGGCCAGGAGCACCAGGGTGGTGAGGCCCACCTGGCAGAGAACACCCTCTACCGGCTGTGCCCACAGACCAACAAGGGCGAGGAGCTGCCCACCTATGAGGAGGCCAAAGCTCACTCACAGTACTATGCCGCCCAGCAGGCAGGGCCCCGGCCACACATCGGGGATCGGGAGCTACGCGGGGCCCCAGGAGGCAGTCAGCGGCAGGACGAGGCCCTGAAGGAGCTGAGGCATGGGCATGTGCGCTCCCTGAGTGAGCGGCTCCTGCAGCTGTCCCTGGAGAGGAATGGAGCCCGGGCCCCTAGCCACATGAGCTCCTCCCACAGCTTTCCACAACTGGCCCGCAGTCAGCAGGGACCTCCACCCAGGGGCCCCCAGGCAGAGGGCCCGGAGACCCGTGGACCCCCACCTCAGTACCCACACGTTGTACTAGCTCATGAGACCATCGCTGCCTTCCCTGGCACAAGACCAAGCCCATGGGGACCAGCTCACCACACCCGTGGCAATCCACACTTCCAGCAGGCTGAAGTCAGGTAACTGTCTCCTGCCTTGGTCTTTTAGCACCTACTCTTGGCTCTCTTCTGGTGTGTGATTCTTCCAGGGTAGAGCCTCAGAATGGATCATGCCTTGTGTCAGGGTGGGCTAGAGCCAACCCCACCCCCACAAGTCCTGGAGGCTGATCCATTCCCCTTCTTCTGTGGAGCCAGGAGCTGATGCCAGGAGGAGAGAAGGACTTAGCCAAGGTCACACAACAAGAAGCCTGGATTCTTGCTTTACTTCAGAGTGACACCATTGTCTGATGTAGCTTGGTATGCTTAGCATTCAAGTAACTAGGGCTCCCGAAGGACATGGATTATAGCAGGAGGTTAAAGGTTAGAGTTCAGAAAGAACTTCCTAAAGATGAGGGTTGGGAATCTGTCAAACTATTTATAAGTTAAGTAGTAGGGCCTTCTTTGAAGGTTTTAAAGAAAATGGTGGACAGTTTACTTTCTGTAATTATTGGAAGGCATTCCTAACTGCAGGCAGAAAGAACTATATGGCTTCCTTAGAGACCTCTCCCCATTCTACACCAGGGCAGCAGCTGCCCTATTGCTCTAATATTTCCTTTCACTGTTTTCCACACTCCTTGTGCCTGGAGCCTGTTGTTTTAAAGAGGTCCCGCTGGTTGCATATGGTGTAGTGCCTAAGGCATTTGACTGCTAACCAGAAGGCTGGTAGTTCAAACCCATCAGCCATCCTCGGAAGGAAGATTGGGCAATCTACTTCCATAGAGATACCACCTCAGAAACCCAAGGATGGGTCACTATGAGTTGAATTGACTCGAGGGAAGTAAGTTTGGTTTTTGGTTTTCTGGTTGCATGGAGAAAATGGATCATAAGGGGCAAGAATGGAAGCAGGGCAGCCAGGGAGGAGGCAGGAAGCTGAGATGTTCTGCGAAAATGTGGGTTCCTAGAAATGAGGCTGTGCCCAGGTTTCTTACCTGGCCCAGGTGCCTTCTCCAGAGATGAGACAGAGCCCATCTTTGCTGGATCAACTCCTACAGGGATCCAGGAAATCCCACCAGAGGAGCCTGAGGATTTGCAGACCTCTTCCTCTTATAGCCCAAGGTCAAAGTCCCTTCATGCCTGCTGAGTTGTCATTTAGTCACCCACTTTCCCACCTTCCCACCATTGGGTCTTTCTTGGGAAAGATGCCTTTCTTTGCTCTCGAGAAATGAGTGATGCAATGGTGTTGGAATGGAGGAACCAGAGACTAGAGCCTCATGCTTTTCCTCTAGCCTCCACTCCTCAAGACTCCCCATCTTATCTCCCTTCTCAGGGCTCTGTCGGGAAGGGTTTCGGAAGCTGAGTCGTGGTTTCTTCTTTTGGATCAGCCTTATTGAACCCTGTCAGGAAAAGATAATATCGTGGAAAGGAAGTAGACTGTTTCCAGGAGAACAAAAAGAGGGGGAGGGGTGGATAAGAAGAAGGGAAAGCAATTGTGAAGGGAAAGGAGACTATTCTTTCTTGAGCTAAGTCATCTCCAAAGAATGCCAGCTGTGTCTGCCTGGTCAGAGGGGGAGCAAGTCCTTGAAGCAACCCCAAGAATGACCACATTTAGCAGTGAAGAGAGAGTTTGGACATTCCAGTGGGGACCCTCTGTCCAGCCCTCACCGGAGGCCCAGCTTTAGGTAGTAAGAAGAATATATCTGTTTAGCTCTCCTTTTGTCTGGCCATATGAGAGTTATTTGTTGGGACCTGGAGGCAGGGCCTTTTCTTGTTTTCTCCTAAGGCCCGAAGAGGAGCAGGGAAGTCATGGGCTATGGGGATGTGAGGTAGAGGGTGATGGTCATGATGGCTGAGGTGGTGGACTTAGGAGAGGAATTAAATTTTTGTGGAGCTTCTGGGTTTTGGGAATTCTTTATGAAGCTGGGGGCAGTTTGTTCTTTTACACTTGGAGATTCTAGGCCCCAGAAAGACCTCTGACTCCCCATAGTTCTTGCCTTTTGCTCCTTTTGATGACACAGCCTTGAGAGTGATGTTACACCTATTCTAGGAGCCAACAGCACGTTGTCCCCTGAACTCAGGTTATGTGGTACCCAGAGGCAGCCCTTGCTCCCAAGACAATCCAGTGTTTGAGTTACATTTATTCTTTAAACTGAGAGGAGGTCACAGCTAGGAGAGGTAGAGAGTGGGGCTGCCATGATTGGAGTGCCTGTGCTATGTCCAATACTCTATCAGGCCTTACACAGCCCTTGCTGGAGACTTACCCTCTTGATTGATGGAGGAATGCTGACTTTGTAGGGCCAAGGCACCTGCCCAAGGTTAAGTAGTTGGAGCCAGGACTCAGACATTTGGCTCGCCATGCTAACCTTAACCAGAGTCTTCCAAAAATGTATCTGAGGGGGTGGCAGGACCCAAAATAGGAGGGAGAAAACCTGAGCATGCTACATTGACAAGCACTAGTGTAAAAACTGAAACTGGCAGCTTGTAACAGAAACAAGGTAACTCTAGGGCCCAGCTATGGAGTGGCTCAGAGGCCTGGGAGGTTATAGACTTAGAAATGACTGGCTCCAGAACCAAATAGAACCTCGCATCCAATGAAAGGGTCAAATGTGCATTTTTTAAAAGATGCGCTGGTTGCTTAGGAAGCCCAGGACTGCTCAGGCAATTCCCAAGGCCTTGGCCATAGTGAGTCTGGGCACGAAATGAGCATATTGGCATTAAACCCCTCCACCCCTGCTCCCCTGGCCCTTAAGGGTCTTGGGGGGACACGATTTGGAAAAGGTCTTCCTCACTGGTTGCTAACTAGCATTGTGGGGAGGCTGAGTCTGTTTCCCCACCCTGACAACTTGGGGCCATTCTGGAGTAGAAGCCGTGGGCATCTGTGTACCCTGAGCACCATCTCTTCTGTTCCCCAGGATCCTTCAGGCCCAGGTGCCCCCTGTATTCCTCCAGCAGCAGCAGCAGTACCAGTACATGCAGCAGCCCCAAGAGCACCCCCCACCCCCACACCCAGCTGCTCTTGGCCATGGACCCCTGGGTTCCCTCAGTCCACCTGGAGTGGAGGGGCCATCAAGCACCCAGGTCTCCTCAGCCACCACAGGCAGTGCCCACCTGGCCCAGATGGAGACTGTGCTGAGAGAAAATGCCAGGCTACAGAGAGACAATGAGAGGCTGCAGAGGGAGCTAGAGAGCTCAGCGGAGAAGGCTGGCCGCATGGAGAAGGTATGCCCTGTTGGGGCCTCGGGCAGGGGGCTGGAAGGAATTCGGAAGGGCTGGCTTGGGAGTGGGTAATTCAAGGGCCAGCAGAGGAGTCTGAACACGGGTCTTGCTGGGCTTTTGCATGTCCCTCTGCCTGCCCCTTCATCCTACCCACCCTGTCTCTTCCCCTTACCCGCCCTCCCTTGCTGACTCCAGACAGCTGAGGAGCAGCTGGGAAGCCAGCAGAGCAGGCCTGGAGCATGAGCAGTTGTTGGCCAGTGTAGTTAGAAAGAGCCCATTCACCAGCTCTCTGCAAGCTCGCAAGCTCGCACCCTTGCCCTGCACACACCCCCTCCCACGGACACCTCCCACAGAGAGCCCTTTGTGTCCTCCACACAACAGCAGGTCTGTTCCAGCACAGCCCTGGCCAAAGAGAAAGCCCTTCCTCTTGGGGAAAAAAAAAAGAGTGACTTGCTGAAATTGCACAGCCAGCTAGGAGCACGTGTAGAACCTGCTGGCAGCCAAGTGGGAGGGGCAGCTAGGACCAGGCTGGCCTCACGGGTAGATGGCGATTGTTAGAGGAGCAGATACTCTGGGCATCAGTGTGCTCAGGCTGGGGGCTGGTGATCCTTTCTATAGTGAAAGTTTATCAGCTATGTATTAAGGTTCAGCCTTAGCAGGTAACCTCTGACCTGTGGCTTTCTAAGAACCCCAAAATGGATCAAACCCTCCAGAACATGGCTGGAGCCTTTCTGTGATCGCTCCTGTACCACTGTGCTCTCATTTCTCAGCAAAAGCTGGGCAGGAGTAAAAGGCTTTTTTCTGGATTCTGGGCACAGGAAAGCTGTGTTCAGTCACCCTCGAGGCCCTGGCTTCAGTCAGCATTCAGTACTTGTGGCAGTTGATGGGACTCTTGGTTGCTGATCCCAGCTATTTAGTTTAACTGAGAAGGCTACAAGCTTCTGACCATCCTCCTGTGACCACCTGAAGTTTTTGCTCCTGCTTTTTATGCTCTCAACTATCCCCATTTCTGGTGGAGAGTTGCAGGTCAGCCTGGGCCATGGGGAGGGCCTTGGCTGCAGACTCCCCAGGGAGCTCTTCAGCTCTGCTCTCTGCCTCTTGCAGCTGGAAAGCGAAATCCAGCGACTCTCTGAGGCTCATGAGAGCCTGACGAGAGCCTCCTCCAAGCGTGAGGCCCTGGAGAAGACCATGCGGAACAAGATGGACAGTGAGATGAGGAGGCTGCAGGACTTTAACCGGGATCTTAGAGGTAAGAGCAGTCATCCAAGTAGCAGAGGATACTGCAGAGGCCTTGGTCTCTCTGTTCCCAAGGTGAATTCAGAATCTCTGTCTTCTGCAAAAATAAGTGCAAAGTGACTCAGAGGGGGTCAGAATGAGACTCCTTGTGTTCTGGACCCTGGAGCCCCTCCTGGAGCTCCTCCTGGAGCTCCCGCCATAATGTGGCCCAGATGATGGCCCTTGGTTGACATTGCTCCCTCCTCACTGGGCCCCAGACTGATCCCCAATGCTTCTCTCTGAGCCCATTCCCAGCTTAGAGGTGAACTTACTGCTGAGCTGTGTGGTGCTGTCAGGGTGACTGGTTGGAGTCACACAGTAATTGAGAAGCAGAGTTGCAGCCCCACAGATAGGATCCCAGGGAAAACCCAGGCAGGTAGCTTCCTGACACTAAAACATCTTCCCTTCATTGGAAACAGAGAGATTGGAATCTGCAAACCGCCGACTGGCAAGCAAGACACAGGAGGCCCAGGCAGGCAGTCAGGACATGGTGGCCAAGCTGCTTGCTCAGAGTAAGTACAGGTCCCACTCATTAAAGCCTGGTGGGTGTGTGGGTAAGGGCATCACAGTGGCCCCTCTGGATGAGGAAGATTGCCCTTCCCCTTGTGAAAGCAGTGCTTTTGAGCACTGGTTTACAGAGTGCCTACTATTTGTTCTGCATTAGATTGGAGTAGGAGGAAGTGTTAGCTTCCAGAGAAGAATAAGGTTTGTTTCTGTGTTGATCGGGGAGATTAGTTGATACTAGGGGGACAGCAGAGGAGCAGTGATTTGCTGAGCTGTGTGGTGCTATATCATTGTGACAGGTTGGAATCACAGTGTAATTGAGAAGCAGAGGTGCAATGGGGTAAGATCAAATATAGGCTTGGGGACAGGTGAGATGAAGGAGAAGATGAGTCCAAGTTTCCCAGGGAGTTCCAGGCAACAGAAAGGTTGGGAACACCCAGTAAGAATGTGAGAAGCTGGAGAATGTGGTAGAACTGGGACCTTGGCAAAGTCACCAAGTGGAGATGCCTTTAGACAATCAAATAGGTTCCTGGAGCTTAACCAAGAAATCTGGTCTGAAGAATGGGTTTGGGAGGCATCTTTCTCAAGGGGGTATGGTCAAAGCTTCCCTGAGGAGTGGGTGAGTTCATTGACTAGTCCATTCATCCATGCATTTGTTCATTTAGCAGAATTGTGCTAAGCACCTGGCCTGTATTGACCCAAAGGTGGGAATGGCTTGGGTAGAGCTGGGGTGAGGGAGCCAGAGAAAATGTTAATAATCAGAAGAGACAGAATAGCAGTTAATTATTACTCCTGTGTTCTGTCGTGATATTTGAGGCATCTACAGAAAGCTAGAATTGGGATGGTTGGTGTCTGGGTGAGGGTGGCTTTGAGAAAGGGAGGGGGTCAAGGAAACCTGCTAGGAGGGGCACACGTGGGAGAACTGGAGAATCAACTTGAGGACTGAACTCTGGCTGGATCACCTTCCCCCTTCAAGGAGGGGTCAAGGCCCTGGACAGGGCCTGCCCTAAATGGGGGATACAGAACAGATTGAAAGACTTGACCAGGGGAGCCCTGGTGGCCCAATGGTTAAGCACTAGGCTGCTTACTGAAAAGTTGTCTGTTCTAACCCATCCAGCCACTCCGCAGGGGAAAGACCTAGTGATATTTTCCTAGTGATCTGTAATCTCAGGGTTTACAGTCTAGGAAACATTATCCCACCTACAGCCGTTGACTCATAATGACCCTGTAAGACAAAGTAGAACTGCCCCATTGGGTTTCCAAAGTTGTATCTTTAGGGAGGCAGACTGCCTCATCTCTCTCCGTTGGTTGGAGTCGGTTTGAACCGCCGACCTTTCAGTTAGCCGTCAAATGTTTTAACCGCTGCACCATCAGAGCACCTTATGGGAAACACTATAGGGCAGTTCTGTTATGTCACATGAGGTCGCTATGAGTCGGAATCCACTCATCGCAGCCAACAACTAGCAGGAGGTAGGCTAGACTGTATTATTGGGTGGGTGCAGTGATGTGGCCCTGCTTTAAAGGCTTCAGGAGGATGTTTTCTGGGGGAGGGGCCTGGTTCTGCAAAGAAAGGAAGGCATGGGGCGGGTTTCTGGGAGCCTGCCCGGGAGAGGGCGGGGGGAGGTGGGCCTGGAGGCGTTTCCGCTCCCCGGGGAGCGAGCGCCAGGCTGTTCTTGGCTCCTCGCTGGAGCCATTAATCTCGCAGCCGCGGGTGACCTGGATGCCTGGCATTCCAGAGCCGCCGGGCTGTTCCGCTTCTGGTCCGCCCCCCGCCGCTCCCTCCGCGAGGCGCGGCCTGGCGCCCTTCGGCCCTTGGCTCCCACAAGGAAAGAAAGTGAACACAAAGGGAGACAGATACGCGGGGGGTGGGTGGGGGTGGGCTTATTTCTCTAGGCGAGAGGTCCTGAAAGCGAGCCAGCGCGACGCCCTGTCCCCTCCACCTCTCCTCGCCTCCCTGCCCTCCTGCGGACCCTTCCCCTAGTTTTGGGCTTTCTCTCTTACTCCAGCCTAGGAGAATTTTTTTTTTTTTTTTTTTTTTTTCTGCTGAGGAACTTTTTCCCAAGATCCACAGGCCCACGATTTTATCAGGCTCCTGGTAGCTGGAGATGACCCGGAGTCTCTTAGCCCCAATCAGGGCCTCAGAGGGCACACTGGATGGCAAAGGCGGTAGAAAGCTGCTGAAAACAGAACACTGGGCCCACTGGCCCCCTCCATACTAAGAAGGACTGAGGAGACCCAAGCAGCTTTCTTCTTAATAACTGTCTCAAAGGCCTGACGGAGATTGTGGGATTCTCAGAGAACATGACTCCAGTGGCCCTCACTTTTTTCCAGGAGTCAGCACTGGCACAAAAGTGTGACCATTATCACCACTCCCTACAGACCCCAGCACTGCCCCTTCTGGCCATCTGGGGAGGCCCTAACATCCTGAGAACCTGCCTTGAGTCTTGTTTTTGGCTCTGGTAGCTCTGTCCCCATGGGCACATTTCTTCTCCCTGAGCTTCAGGGCCTCTGGCTGTGACATAGGATGGCAGTCCCTGCCTTTCCTACATTTCAGAGGCTGGAATGAGGTGCAGTCTGTTATAATTAAGTAATCTGTAGGGTTCCATGAACCCACATGGAAGGAGGTGGGATGTATCATCTCTGAGTCCATCTCCATTTCCATATTATTGGAATTCCCACATTTTCCTTCCATGCCAAAGGATGAAGCCAGCCCGGGTCCAGCCTTTAAAAATCCAGAGTAAACTCTGGTGCCTGTGTCCTCCCTGCTCTGCCCCTGAGCCCTGAGTAAATGAGTCCTGCCTTCTGCATTCCAGAGTCCCAAGCTTTCTCTTCTATTCCAGAACTTGGAGACTTAGAGCTGCTCTGTCAATTAGCCAAATGTGATCCAAAGATTGTAATTAAAATTTTAGTTTCTCAGGTGCACTAGACACATGTCAGGGGCTCAGTAATCACATGCCTAGTGGCAACTGCATTGAATGGCACAATATAGAGCATTTCCATTATACCAGAAAATCCCACTGAATGTGCAGCTCTAGAGATAGGTCCTCTGGCTTCATCAGGCAGGCCCTGCTGCCCTGTCTCCCCTCTGGCCCTCCAGTAGGGTGGGCAGCTGACACTCCTCAGTGAGGGTGGGTAGAGCAGCCTGTAACTCCCAAGGAACAGGTGCATGGAGGGTGGATGAAGCCTAGGGCATCAGCTAGAGGACATAGTAGACTGACTTGGGCCTTGTTTGGCCTGGCTGTACAGAGAAGGTCTCTAAGCAGAGTTCCCTGAACAATTAATACGATGATTTAAAAGTCGTTTGAGCTAGAACCTCAGACACAGTCAAACAAAGCTTAACCATAATGATTTTGAGCAGTGTCACTAGGGTTGGTGTCACCCAGTGCAGTAAGTCATGGTTTCAACCTTCCCCCCACCCCATGGACCTCCTCCTGTTCCAGACCATACAGAATCCTTAGTATTTAATCATAGACTAATATGTGATAAACATAGCTGTAAATTGCTTAAATGTAATATTTCTTAAGTTATATGAATACTGACAACAAAATTGTTTTGTAAAATCTTTCTATGTTAAATTACATCATTATTAGTAAGTGAGCAGAAGGCTTTTTTGATTTTTCCCCTTTTCCTTTAACTACTACTTCATTCTCAAAAAAAGTTATCAATATAGACTCACAAATGCTAATTACCACCAGAAAATTTGAAAAATCAGTGACTATAAAAACAGCAGCAGCAACAAAAATAACAGTGTGTGCTTGTAGCCTGTGCAAATGAAACCACTTGATTTAAAGTGTCATTGTAATCAACTAATAATGACAGCTCTGAGTGGAGCACATTAAAAGCTTCAAAAGTAAATTAGCATAGAGTTTTAGCCTTGTTAGGTATACTGATACAAGTAAGCAGGGCTTACAAAAAATATTTTTGTTGTTTTAAGTAACTGCAGGGATATTTTTATAAAAAATAATAAATTTCTGCTGAGATGCTGCACAAAAGTTTTATAGACAATCATTTTGGTCCTGTCTCCCTGACATTGTCACCTGGTGAGCTCTGTACCCTCCATACCTGACTAGTGATGCCACTGCCATTTTCATTGGGCTGCCAAGTTTGCATTTCTTCATCAGCACCTCTGGTAGTGCAGTGCCTAAGCCATTTGACTGCTAACCCAAAGGTTGGCAGTTCAAACCCACCAGCTACTCCATGGAAGGAAGACTGGGCAATCTACTTCCATAAAATCATGGAAACCCAAAGGGGGTCACTGTGAGTCGGAATCAACTCGATGGCAGTCAGTTTGGTTCTTTTTGGAGTCTAGTTGCCTTGGTCTCACTGGTCTTTCAGACCATGAAAGAAAATCTGGCATTTAATGGGGAAGGCCAGGGACTGTATAATGAGCCCTGGGCTCCACTTCAGGAGGCTTCTGGGTCTGGGGAGCCTCACCACAGTCAGTAGATGCCTGGTCCTTTGGAGCCTGGTAGTCTAGGTTCCAACCCTGGCATCACCTTTCACCTCCTGCTTCCTCCTCTCTCACAAATCCTGCCTTGAGGGGCGGTTATTTGAGGACTTGATGGAATAAGACGTATGAGTGTCTGGCTCATGGTGCAGCAAATGACGATTGTCTTCCCTTCCTTCATTCTCCCACTTGAATGATGACCAAGTCAATCTCACCCTGCATTTTCTCATCTGTAAAATGAGCAATCACGTTCCTACCTAAGACAGTCTCTAGTGTCATCATGAGGCTCAAAGGAATATGTTTTGGGAATGATGACACCTGGCAGAAGTAAGTGATGTTTGGGGCTGTCTTGTGGCAGGTCTTTGTCCCAGTAGAGAGTCAATGTTGCCCTGTTGTTACAGCAAGGGCCTTGGGGTCAGGTTCTGCCATTTATTCATGATAGTGTGAGCTTTAATTTCCTCATCTGTAAAATGGGGTTAATAATAGAACCTAACTCTTAGGATTGTGGAGAGGATAAGATACAGTCACGGCCAGCACATGGTGAGCGCTCAGTTGGACCAGTCAGGGTGGTCACTGTCACTGTTACTTCTCAGAGGATGACTGAGCTGCTCCTTCTCTCTGCAGGCTACGAGCAGCAGCAGGAACAAGAGAAACTGGAGCGGGAGATGGCACTGCTGCGCGGAGCCATTGAGGACCAGCGGCGGCGCGCCGAGCTGCTAGAGCAGGCCCTGAGCAATGCACAGGGCCGGGCGGCACGAGCCGAGGAGGAATTGCGCAAGAAGCAGGCCTATGTGGAGAAGGTGGAGCGGCTGCAGCAGGCGCTTGGGCAGCTGCAAGCTGCCTGTGAGAAACGGGAGCAGCTGGAGCTACGTCTGCGGACACGCCTGGAGCAGGAACTCAAGGCTCTGCGTGCACAGCAGGTGAGCCAGGAAGACCTGTGGAGGTGACAGAACTTGGAGTAGTGTCTGAGGATGCCAATTCCCATCCTTTCCTTGGGCTCGAGAGTTGGCAGCCAATTCCAGGGCCCCTGGAAGCCTCTGCTCAGATCCAGGCCACAGACCCTTTGAGAAGCAAGAGTGATTTCTGCCTCACCCTTGTTGCAAGACCCCTTCCACCCACCAGTCTTAGCAGAGGCTTTGCCACTTGGCTTGTGTCCAGCCTCAAGGGACTCAAGACTTCAGCTGCTGTCTTTAGCCAAAAGCAGGGGTAGAGTTATTGGTCTCCAGAGAAAATAGGTCAGGAATACTAATGGCAGATTGAAATTCAATGGAATCTTGATCTAGAAGATTAACCAGCTTTTCTGTGTCTCCTCAAGATCAGAAGAGAAGGTTATAGTCCCAATCTTGAATCTTTATCCTCACTTGGATTTCTTTGTAATCAGCTCTTGTTTTTTGTAAACCAGATAGTTGTCTTCACTCCCTTCCCACACAAATATGGTGAACAGTGTCCTGGTTTACTGGTACTTTCCCAGGATAATTTATAAGGTCACCTATGCAAAGGTCTTTGGGTGGTGCGAACAGTTGGCCCTCAACTAACCTAAAGGTTGGAGGGTCAGACCTTCCCAGAGGTATAGGATGAAAGGTCTGATGAATTGCTTCCATAAAGATTATAGCCAAGCAAACCCTATGAAGCAGTTCAACTCTGTTACACAAGGAGTCATCATGAGTTGCAATCAGCTTTATGACAGTGGGTTTGAGTTTGTTTTTTTTAATGCAGAGGCTCCTTTACTCTTAACCTCAGGATTCAGGGCAAGGTGTGGGGACTCTCTGTCATCCTCTCTGTTTCTTAGTGCAAGTGGGACAAGGGGGAGAGAATGCTGTCACCAACCAAACACGTATAGGTGAGAGTCCTCACATGTGAGTGAGGACCAGGGGCCGTCACAACCCAGCCTCCACCCTTGACCACAGTGCTCCTTGCTCTGCAGAGACAGGCGGGCACCCTCAGCAGTGGCAGTGGTGGGTCCCCAGAGCTCAGCGCTTTGAGGCTGTCAGAGCAGCTACGGGAGAAGGAGGAGCAGATCCTGGCACTGGAAGCTGACATGACCAAGTGGGAGCAGAAGTACCTGGAGGAACGTGCCATGAGGCAGTTTGCCATGGATGCAGCCGCCACAGCTGCTGCCCAGCGTGACACCACACTCATCCGACACTCCCCCCAACCCTCACCCAGCAGCAGCTTCAACGAAGGCCTGCTTGCCGGCAGCCACAGGCACCAGGAGATGGAGAGCAGGTTCGGCATTGCAGGCCAGGCCAGGGTGTCTGAGATGGGGAGGAGCACATGGTAGTGTCCGGTTCCTATCCTTAATCCCTGATAAATAGACCCCTTTCCCTAACAGTTCAGCATTTCCTCCTGCTTCTGAGCAAACCAGTGTCTGGCGCTGCAGAGTAGCGTACACACATTCTTTCTGTAACACCAACCGAGTCCTTGGTCAGCCCAGAAAGCTGACTGCAGAGGTGTTGGATGACATTCACTTGGGCCCCTGTCCCTTCCCCACGTAAATCAGAAAGACTTTCCCGCCGAGTCTACACTGTACCATCCCAGAAGGAATGTAGACTAGGTTCCATTCTCTCAAAAAAAAAAAAAAAAAGTCTCAGAAGCCCTCTGTGATTTCCATTTGCTCTACTCTGGTTCAAAAGATCATACCCCTCATCTGATGGTCAGACAGCTCTAGGGCATTGCCTCCCAGCACCAGGGTTATGCCATTGCTCTAGTCAGATGAGTTTAGGAATCCATCCCTTTATTAACTGTCTTTGATGATGTAAAAAGGGCCCCAACACCTCATGCACTGTGGTTCTCGGAATCTGGGCTCTGAAAGCAAGCAATGCCAGAGCTGTGATGACATTTCTGAAGGCCCACTCCTGGTCTTGTGTAAGGAAGAGGGTCCAGCCTAGATAGAAGGAGAGCTTTTCCATAAACTCTCCTTGAGGAGGGTGGAAGCTACTGCGTCTTATCTGCCTACTGGAGTCTGACAGTATCTCATCTTTCAGGTTAAAGGTGCTTCATGCCCAGATCCTGGAAAAGGATGCAGTGATCAAAGTTCTTCAGCAACGCTCCAGGAAAGACCCTGGCAAGGCCACTCAGGGCTCCCTGCGGCCCGCTAAGTCTGTGCCATCCATCTTCGCAGCTGCAGCAGCAGGAACCCAAGGCTGGCAAGGGCTGACCTCCAGTGAGCGGCAGGCAGATGCTCCTGCCCGCCTGGCTCCAGGTTAGAGGAGGCTGGTGGGCACCAGAGAAGGGGTAGTTTCTCTTAGGCCTTAACACACATTGCCAGACCTTTCTTCCCAGAACTGAGATTTATGGGAGCCAAGGCTTCCTAATCCCTCTCCCAGGCGAACCAGCTTTCACTCAGGTTTCAGTGACCCTACAGCCCACAGCTGTTCTGCCTGTGTGAAGAGGGGACCTGTAGGCAGCACCTCATCTTCATAAATTTTATCACCTTCTCCCCCAGCAATACCATCTAAGCAAAAATAGAGCTTCCTATGCAGGTGCTCCTTCTAGACAAACCCCTGCCATTCCTCCTCCTGAAAGCAAATGCCACAGAACCTCCAGAGACCCTGCTCGTTTTGGATTTAATTTACAAAGGTTTCCACCACTCAAAACATTTGGAACCACTCCAATTGGAGAGTTACTCGCATTTGAAAACATGTAAATGTGATTTGTCATTATCGAAGCTCTTGCAAATCAAGAGTGATCCACACCACATGTCCCAGTATGTAGTTAACTCAGGGTGTCCTTCATTGGAGCTGCATCTTGTGGGGATCAATAATCACCAACTTTCTGCCTTTCTAGCAGACAGGGCCCCTACAGAGGAGCCAGGTACTGCAGCCCCCCTCCCTTCCCATGCCAAACACGGGAGCAAAGATGGGAGCACCCAGACTGAGGGCCTACCGGACGGCACCTCTGCCTGCCTGCCACTGGAGCCTGAGGGCTTTGTCGGTTGCAGCAGTGGTCAGAGAACAGCCTCACTGGGTAAGTGTCCCACTCTGAATTCTGTGCAGGGCAGGGTTGAGGGCACAATGGGGTCAGAACTAGGATACCAAGGTCCTTTCCTCCTAGACCCCTTATGCTCATGACCCCACACTGTATGGGGACCACTGCATAGCTGAGGGGTGAGTAGGGTATCTGCTCACCCCAGTAAGCATATGAAGGCCAGTTGGATACATGAGTGGAGGGACTGAGACCCTGATTAGAGACAGATCAAAAGTTCAGAAAGAAAGCTACCAGATGGGAAGCACTTTATCTTCTCTTGCATGGGTCTTCCTTACATATTTAATTGCCAATCTAAATATCTAAGATGATGGATTTTGGCTAGTTATCCTAATGGCGCTCTTAAGTTAGAAGACTTTGTTTAAAAAGAGTCTGGGAAGGAGAAATTTGAGAAGACGCCATTTATTTTATTTTATTTTTTGCTCGCCTTTTACATCAGCCTTTGCATATTTGCCTGTGCCTCATGAGCTCAGAAAACCACAGGCATGAAAAGAATTCTGCAGCCTCCCTCCCTCAGGGCTCTCCACTGCTCCCTCCAAGCCCGCCAACCAGTTCAAAGTTATAAAAGTCTTCCACATTGGAGGATGATAGTCTCAGCTGAGGAGAAGCAGAGCATTGTGCCTGGTTGGCCAAGTTATGGGGACCTGGGGACCTGGGCAGCTGAGGTGGGGAAAGTTGGTGAGTTTAAAGCATCTATCTTAAAAATGTCAGGATTTTTCTAAAAAGTAATCTGGTAACACTTGTTGACATGTGCCTGTGTTCTTTTCTCTCCCTAGACTCTGTAGCTACATCCAGAGTCCAGGACTTGTCAGACATGGTGGAGATTCTGATCTGAAGGAGGTAGTGCCTTGGGGACTCAACCATTTCCTGTCCTCCTCAGCGTCTGTCACTCTTGGCCATTCCAGCAGCCCCTCCAACTGCTGCTTTCCCACTTTCCCATCACCGTATGGTCCTAGGAGTTCAGGAAGGACTGCTGTGGGGGGAGGGGAACTGTGAGCACCAGCATCCCAGAAGACCTTCCTTCTTAGCCTTACATTCCTCCTGAGTCCATGGAGAATGAGGATTCAGCCTTGGCCTGCTGCCCAAGGTTTGCTGCTGGAAGCTCAGAAGGGAGAGAGCCCCCTCTGACCTCCCAGTTGTCACTCAGGTGGGAAGAAGAGGGGAGTTACAAAGGTTTGGAGGGCTGAGTTCCAGGGATGGCCTTCCATGGACACCAAGTGAGCTAGTTTGGTAATCAACTCAGCCATGTTGTTTCCCTCTGACTAAGTGTGGTCCCAGCCAACTTCATCTGCTCTTCAGCTCCTCACTGCCTCCTTGGGATCACCAAGACTTGAATCTTTTGGAAACTGTTGAGGGTATTAGCCCTGTAGAAGCCACAGCCCCACTCTCTCACTTGGTGTGGGTTAGGAGCCACTTAAATGGACTGGGAGACAGTGTGCAGTTTGTATATAATTCCCTTTCTTGTGGAACAGAAGATGGAAGATGGAAAAGTGTCGATTCAGATTTTGTGACCTTGGGCTGTACTCCCCTGACCCTGCTGTCACAGTTCCTGTAACTTCTGACTGGCCTTCCAGCTATTTCTCTTTCTTAAGTTCTTGGCCATGGATTTTGATGCTGGTTGATTCATGGGATATTGTCTTCTTTGAGCCCTGCATTGAATGTCCACGGAATTCCCGTCACCAGCCTCTTGAAATGGCTCCACAGTTCCTGTCCCTGAGACATTCTGTTGGTTTAGTTATGGACTCTGAGCCAGTTGAAATGAGCCACCACACCTGGACATCTGCCACGCCCACGTGTGGACTTGGGTGGCCCTCCCCAGCACCAGTGCTCTCGGAGGAAACTGGAGAAGTTGTCTTGTTCTTATAAGTGTCTTTGTTCTCACCTGGAGGGATTGGGAGAGGAAGCTATGCTGTTGAAAACTAATTGAGCTACAAAAAACTAACTGAGCTACATACACAATGTGACTCAAATAGTCCTCAGATTGGAGCCCCCATCACAACATGGCACCTATGAGGCTGGCTCCTCAAGCTACCCCATCCCCAGTGCCCTGAAGCAGGGGCCAGATACTTTGGATTTAGGGTGAAGTGCCCCACTCGGCAGCCTGGCAGCAGCAGCAAACTTTGACTTCTGGTCTTAAAGAATCCCCCAACTCATCTGACTCAGCCCTAGGAGTGATTAGATGGTTTTAGCAGTTTGTCTTAACTGTTTTAGTTCTCCTAAAATTTTGATTTTTTTCCCCCCTTTACTGTTTTTAGGTTTTGTATGTGTACTGTTTTATTCTCATGCTTCCTCAAGTTTCCTTTTTAAACATTTGCATTTGCTGGACAATTGCATTTTTTTTTAAATCCCCTACCCCTTTTTAAAACTGAACAATACATTTGGTTCATGTGCATTGTTTACAAAGCAAAAAAAAAAGAAAAAAAAAGGCAAAAAATATTGTGAAAGGAAAAAAAAAACCAACAACTTAATATATTTTGGATTAATATTTGGTATTTCTTTTAAAGTATTTTTTTTTTTTTTGTGCTGTGAACATTTTCTGCCAAAGACCATGATGTGTGTCTGTATGTTTTAAGTTATCGTAAATATTTAAAATGTAAACTTGGCTGTTTTGTTCTGCCACCTTGTACCAGGATTGCTGCTGCATTCCATTGGGTATAACAGTATTTTAATAAAAAAAAGTCAATAATAATAAAAATGATGTCTCTGCATGGGTCAGTGACTTGTCACTGAGAAGAAGAGAGGGAAGGGGGTGAGGACTTGTGGGGCTACCTCATTATTGCCCCTGATCACTTTCAGCAATGAACTGCCCCCTCTTCCCAGCCCCATCTCTTATGCTCCCTGGTTCTAGAACGTCAGCCAGAGCATGTCCATCAACAGCCAGCTCAGCGTCACTGCCACTGCTCGTACATGAGGAATGAAGAATGCAGGTTTCCATTTTCTGATTGGGGGTTGCCTGCAGGCAGGGGAGGCTGATCCTTAACTACAAGGCTAGAATGGAACCCATTGCCATCAAGTTGATTCTGACTCATGGCAATCCCAGGATGGTACACAGGATGATCTCTTTAAGTCCCAGGAATTTCCTGAGACTGCATCAAGGAGAGAGCTGGATTGAGGGCATGATTGGCTTTCTTTTCAATTTTATAGGGAACATTTCTGACAGGCTAGGAGAGGGTCTGACGAGTGGCCTTCCCAGCTAGCTCTGTCCTAACTGGCTTTGTTTAGCCATATGCTGTGATAAGTCCATGTTCCCATGGTAGGAGTGGGTGTTCAAGGTGGCTTTGTCTTCCCCTCAGGTTTACCTACCCCACCCCCTGGAGTCCTTGCCCGGTCATGTGAGGAACCAGCAGCATGCTAGCGGTCTGCCTGGACATGTGGAGCATGTTGGTGTGTGTGGCACATTCCTAGACACTGCCCCCAACCCTTGTAGCTCCACCACTCTCCCAATGCTCAGGAAAACAATATCCCTCCAATTCATGAAAGAGAAAATCATTCTCAATGTTGGATGTTCTTTTATCAGAAACAAAGAACCTGCTCCAAGCCTCCATGGGCATGTCAGCACTGAGGCTCCTAATCAGTGTGTGGGGGCTGGTAGAGAGACAGCAGCCAGATGCTGTGGGACAGGAATAGTTAGTCCCCATGGACCGTGGGTGAAGTACCTTCAGGGCAGGTGCAGGGACTCAGCAATCATGTTGATAAATAACCAAGCTAGGCTTCTAAAAAATGTGCCTTCCTGAACCAGCCTACCTACCCGTGAGAGTGGAGCCAAAGAGGTAGAAGAATTTGGACCATCCAAGGACTTTTCTAGAAACTGCAGAAAGTAGCAGGCTCCAACGGATAGGGAGCTCTCCATGCAGGATCCTGACACAGCCAAATGTAGAGAGAACAATCGCCACCCTATGGCCCTACCTCCAACTTAGGCCTGTCCAGCCTGCCTCCTGCCACCTGGGCAGCATCCTGCCACACCCTTGATTAGAGTTTCTGCTATGTTGGTTAGGATGCTTTCCTGAGATGCATGCCTAGTCCACTGAAGTAGACGGGCTCCTCCTCCCTGTCTCCCTCTGCTCTTCCCTGGCCCATGCCAGCCTACTGTTGGTTAGCTAGGACTTGGCATCCAAAACAAAATGGCAGTGCTTGGGGCAGAGGCTACCAAAGAACAGCTTAGAAAAGGGATTCCCACTCATCGCCACCTGCCCCCTGAAGAGCCTTGTCAGGACGTTCAGATTGAGAGCAATTAGCCCTGACAGACCACCATCCTATACCCAGCACCACTGGCCAGGAGCTTTCAAAGCATCTGTGCTTTCTGCCAGAGCTAGTCTGTCAAGAGTTACTTTATTTCTTGGCAGAGACCAGGGGAGATGAAGTGTGCCTAGCACACGTACATGCCTGTGTATTTGTATGTGTGTGTCCATGTGTGTGGTCCTGAGCTCATGTCCTAGAGAAAAGGTATGAGGGCATCAATATCTCCCAGCAGGGTTCTGGGGCTTCCATCAACTACATGGTCACCAGCAGGCAGACCCACTTCACAGAGAGGGAGTGGCATGGGCTTCTAGGTGGACTTTGAAATCTGACCTTACAAAGCTCTGGAACTGGTAGAGGAGCAGGCCTGGGGCTGGGTGTGTGTGTGGGGGGGGGGAGTTGCAGGGGGAGGGGGGTTAATCCGTGTGCTCAGGCACCTGTGAAGGCTGTGGGGGCCTAGGGCATAAGGGGTGTGTTCCTGGCTCCCACAGGTGGCTCTGCTGGACTCTTGGGAGGCCAAGTTTCTCTTCAAGGAGGCAGCCCTGCCCTGCCTGCCTTGTTCCCACTGTTACTGGTGCCTCCAGTAACAAGGCTGAGGGTAAGGCTCACATTCCCCCAGAGGCCCAGATGGCAGCCTGTAAGTGGCTGTCCCAATCTCTGTCTCCCTCACCTTCAGTTAATTATTAACTTCTTCCCTCCATTCCAGCCTGTGCCTGGTTTGGAGGGTTTAGAGAAAATGCACCAACACAGGGCAACAAATTAGGGCCCAGCAGATCAGACATAAGGAGCTCTGGTGGCACAGTGCCTAAGGCATTTTACTGCTCACCAGAGGGCTGACGTTTCAAACCTACCAGCCACTTGGCAGAAGGAAGATGGGGCAATCTACTTCTGTAAAGATTTAACACCTTAGAAACCAATGGGAGTTGCTATGAGTCAGAATAGACTCCATGGCAGTGAGTTGTTATTTTTTTGTTTTGTTTTGTTTTTTCAGATCAGACATAAGAGTGATGCAAACGGTTAAGCATTCGGTTGCTAACCCAAAGCTTTGTGGTCTGAACCCACCCAGAGACACCTCGAAAGAAAGGCCTGGTGATCTACTTCTGTAAAATCAGCCTCTGAAAACCCTGTGGAGCACAGTTCTACTCTGACACGCAGGGGGTCACCATGAGTTGGAATCGACTCAAGGGCAACTAGTTAACTGGTTTAACCCAGAGATGGTTGAAGCTGCTCCACACCTCCAGGGGCTCCATGTGGGCTAGGAACTTGTTTGCAATGCCACTATCTTGTATCTTAGGACAAGAAAGGACCAGGCCAGAACACAGTACTTCTCTGAACAGCCCATGCTGTGTGTGTGACCAAGTCCTCGGGAGGCAGTCCAGAAAATCCAGCACCATGCTTCTTGGACCTGCCAGGCCTGGATTATACACAAAGCATCACAATAACCAAGCTCTCAGCATCGTTGTTTGTTTTTGTCAAGCTGTAATTCATATACCCTGTTAAAGTATACAGCCCAGTGGTATTTGACATCACAGCATGCATTTTAAGTCAGTGTTCAACCACAGGGTCATCAACAAATACCTCACCAGTGATTCTCAAATCAATCAAAAGTGTGATTTGATGTGCTACATTCACACTCATCCAGCTCCTATTCCACAGTATGACTTTCTGTAGCTGTCAGTCTCCTTCCACTTGCCCCAGGCCTGGTAGCTACAGAACCCCTCATCTGGGCTACAGTGAGGACATTGTCTGCTCTGAGTTGGAACCTTCAGTTTGCTCTTGAACTGCTAACCTAAAGATTAGTGGTTCTGACCCACCCAGTGGTACTTCTACAGGAAAGGACCGGTGAT